AAGAAATCCTCTGACATTTTGTCTGTGGAAGCCAGTTAAAAATATCTTTTTAATCATGATTTGGCCAAAATAATCTTTTGCAAGGGTGAAACAGTGAGAATCCAAACCTTGCTCTAAACTGAATAAGGTCCAATCATTCTGCCCAGCTGAGGAAGCAGGGCTTGCTGAAAGCAGAGGTCAGCTTTTTATCCGCAAGGCAAGGCACAGTGGTGTGAATTTCTCACACTCCTCAGCCGATGTAAAGTTCTCTCCCCCTTTTGTTTTTGAGCATGAAAGTAGCATTTGTGGCTTGCTGGGGAAAAAAAAAAAAAAAAAAAAAAAAAAAAAAAAAAAAAAAATGAAGCTTGCTAGAGGACATTCTGTTTCTAATCCAGTTTGTGTGCATTTTCCACGTGTTCCTGAAATTTCTGTGGCAATAGGTGTCTGTTGTATTGCTGTATGGAGTCCCAAAGAATTTTATAATGGTCTCCTCTGATGTCTCATTACTGTTTAAAACAAAGTTGTGCTAGAGGTGTTTGCTTCCTTTCCATTTTGTTGCAAGGCTTGAAAACGCACCTTCCTTGAGACTGATTTTTGTTTTTTTCAAATAATCCACTCCTAAATAATACAGCGTCATGTGCCTCTCAGATGGAGATCACGCTTTAGCTGTATGCTTAACCGAGCTGCTTTCCTTGGGAAAATATCACAGCTGGGATGTGACCTGCTTCTAGACTCTGATTTCATTTCTGAAAGAGTGCAGCCCACCATAGCTTGTTAGCCCTGTAGGCAGGAATTATGTGCTACTGACTTGGGCCAAGCACACTGTTAGCCCTCAATAATAATAATGAGTTGTGAAAGGAGTTCATAACTGGATGTGTGAGGTAAAGAATATTTGAAGAGCAAAGGTTGACAATATACTTGGGGATAATGGCATTATTTCAGGGGATTCTCTCTAAGCAGCAAGTAGGAGAGAGGAATTTGTCCCCCGTGGACCACACCGCCGGCTTTCTTGCTGCCAGCACATACTTTAGTTTCCCAGCAGTTATCCAAACAAGCATTTCTTCTTCAAACCCTTTGGAACCATTGACTTTCTGAAAACACAGCCTCCCCGGAGGAGTCAGCACACCAAATAAAGTAATTAAATATAGTAAAATAAACTACAAGGGTAACAATGCTAGCAATTGATTTGTAATACTTAATGCAAACCTTGCTATTTAAAAAGTGTTCCAGATTTTTATGGTACATTCTTCCTGCTTGGACACGTACATTACAGGTAATGACAACGTTGCTGCCTCAGAGAATGATTTCAGTTGCCTCCCGCATGATATAGTGAGTATATGAATCACAGTGGAGAAAAAAAAAATCAATTAGAAATCCCTCAATTTTCCTAACGTTCTTCCAGGTGCCCTGCATGGCTGCTTGCACAGTTTATTCTGCTGCTGGAGTAAACTGTTTGTTGTTGCTACAACAGGATGCTCTTGTGTGAGGACGCAAAGACCCCAGCTGCACCCCATGCATGGGCTGAAGTGCTCTTTTCACCCGTTCTTTCATCTTCTCAGTTCTTGTATTCTTCTCATTAAGAGATTTGTACACTGCAATCGTCACGCACAAACCCAACATTTTTGCATTTGAATCACATTTATACCTCGGCTTTCTTTCCTCCCCCCATTCTGTTTTGTACATCTTCCTGTGCCTGTAAATGCCCAGGAAATGCTGTAGAGTATATCCTTTTGGGTCCCAATTAAGATTCTGAACTGCTGTTCTCTGTATGATAACAACCTGAAGTGCTGACAACACGCTACCTGTCAACAGGCAAATGAAGGCCAACCATCTGTTCTACTATAAATTGTCTCTACTACTCTCAACTTGAAAATCCGCTTTAAAGACTCCCCAATTATCTGGTAACCTGAGCCAAATGATGCAATGTTATTTTAACTAGAATCATCATTGTGTACAAGAAAAATAAACATTAAAAGCCCAGAACAAAGAAAGATTTCTGAAAAGCTGTTTTATATCTGATTTTGTGTGTACGGCTCTGATGTGCACGCGGGAGCAGCTCGGAATCGCAGAAGCAAAGAGTATCAGATTACTGCTGCTTGAAAACCTGCATTTCAATTGATAGGGAGCCAGCTAAACGCTCCTGCTCAGAACCTTTTGTCTCAAAACACTGTAATTACAAACCTCCTGCAAACAACCAGAGCTCCCGGGCTGCGGGTACCCAGCACAGCCCTGGAACTGCAGGCTGGGTCGAGGAGCTCCACGCAGGAGGAGATCCTTGCACAGCCCCACAAATGGGTGCTTGGCGTGTCAGTGCAGGATCAGAGGTGAGACGTCAGAAGAAAAGGCCTCAAACTGGCTCGATCTGGGCATGTTAATAGCTTGCATCTATTTCCGGTGTTTCTGTGTCCAGAGAAGAGCAAAAACAGCAAAACCAGGCGCTACAGCAAGGGTTCTCCTCTTGCTGGTGTCTCTGGTTTCCTTCCCCTCTAGTCCTTAGGCTGTCTTCAAGCCCCTTTATTGGTTGCTGGGTTTTCTCTTCTTGCATTCCCTGCTTCCCATCTCACTCCACTATAGGCTTGCAACAACTTTCTAAACAATGAAATTGCAACCTTCTCCTTTCCTCCTACACACTGAGGAAAACTTGACCCAGCTTGCCATGCACGGCAGAGGCAGTGAGCACGCATAGCTTGCACCTTTGCATCATAACCTGCACAGAGCAGCAACTGCTGATGTCCAGGAACCAGTTTGCCTCTCATCCACTATCCCAGACCCTTTCAGAACAAGGGTGCCAAAGCCCAATTTCATTAGTTTGTTAAAGTCTGCTGGGGAAGGAAAAGAGAGAGAGAGAGAGAGAGAGAGAGAGAGAGAGAGAGATATTGAGAGGTGGTGAGTTTAGGCCAGGTTTCCAACACCTTGTTACATCACTGACAACTGTGCAGAGTGTCAAATAGGACACAGAATCAGAATTTGTATAGGTATAAATAAAAACACACACTGCAGGGCTGGCAATCTAGCCCTGACTTTATTCCTGTTCAGTAACCAAAACTTGTGGCAGCAGCTGTTTGGAGCAGGCAGACCAGTATTCAGAGCTGGGAGGAGAAGGATTCACCTGCTGAACAATCCCCAGGTTCCTTCATGCAATAGGCCTAAAGATGTTGACCAGAGGATTCATTACATCTCTATTTTAGTCAGAGCCAGAAAGCTAAGCAATGGAAGTATCTATCTACATGAAGATATATTTAAAATCTATCCCTACCTTTTAATACCTAAAGATTACAGATGGCAATGATATCATCGACTGAAGGGAAAGGAGCAAAAACATGTATGGGCTTAGCTTTGAAGAGGCACGAATTAGGATATGGGATTCTATTGGAAAACCTGCAGGCAGCTTCAGAACAACCTTCAGATAAATTAAAGCTTCAAAGGCAGCAAAGAAGAAAATCCAAAATTGGGAGGCATGGGCATGTAAATGTTTTCATTACTCTGATTATTTTCACAAAGACGTCCACCCGTATAATGCCTTATTGACAAGACATTGGTTGCAATTTGCAATACTTAAATGACACAGAAACACTCTGAAAATCTCTATAAAACATTTAGCACCTAAACAACACTGCTTGATCCTATGCTACAGGCCCAGCAAAATTAAATAACTGTTTTGAATACAGCCTTGTGTTCGGGAATAACAGTTTGTGCTGTGTGGCACTTACTGTGGAAGTTAAACACAAGGGAGTTGGTGAGGAGGAATAAGTAATAAGATGGCACAGTTGTCTTCATTATAAAATGCATTTTTGGAGGCTCATATTTCCTCTTTCATACGAAAGAAAGACAAGAATTTATAGACTGTACCAGATATTTCCAAGAAATTCAAATGAGTCAAAGGTAAAAGTTGGTCTAATGAATCAAAATCATATCAGCGTGGCCGCTGTAATAAATGTAAATGAGGAAGATCATTGCCCTTCAACATAAGGAAGATGCAGCCTTCAACAGTGCTAGGAGCATGCATTTGGCATGACCCTTGAAGCACTGTTTTCAGCTTATAGACCTTAATTTTTTCCTCCAGCAGAGTTCAGTGCAAAGGAAAGCCTGCCTCCTACCTTGGTTGTTGAATTATCGTGGGTGTTGCTGGCTGGCTAAACTGATGGGAGTTTGTTCCTGGGTTAGGTTTGTTGTCCTCCCTCCTGAAACCTGTAGCCAAGATTTTTATCCAATACAGTTCTGTTTGCCTTTGCACTAGCAGCACCATGCAACCTGCTTTTGCTGCTGGCATTTACAACTTCCTACTGGTCTAAATATCCATAGGAACTGCCACACATGCCTCCTAAGACAGGTCTTTTATAAGTAATAAAACACAGAGCTGTCTACAACTCTGCCAGCTGCTTGTAGCATGCAATCTGAAACCATGCAGACGACTTACATGAAATTGCCAGCTCTGGAAGCAATATCCAGTGTGTATTCAGTGAGTTGAACATTATCCTACAAAAAGAATCTAACTGCACATACGTCTGCCTCTCACCCCCTCCCTGAGGTCAGGAAATCCCAAGAGATTGGTCAAAGTTGGTAAAAATTCAGCAAATTGATGACTCAGAGAAGAGCTGGTCTACCTCCAAGTAAACTCTATTTTTCACTTGAGCCAAACTGAGACACAATATCATGCTTTCCTACATTATGATTAAGTCTGGAATAAATCTGGAGAGACTATACAGAATACATTTTATTAAATCAGTACTGGAGTACTAAGCCAAGGACTATTTACACCTTCTAAGAGACAACATGCGAACAGCACCCTTTTGCATTATCCCAAACCAACCCAAGACCAAATCAGGCACCAAATCTAACCTAAATAGGTCTCCCATCCAGACACCCCAAACTCTGTGCTACTCCAGCTCTGCATTCAATACTCACATCTCCTGTCACCAGCTACTTAGAGATTTGGTGGGGAAGAGGGGTGGGAGGATCTCCAAGGATGTGAGACTAAACAAATAAAGTCAAGAACTTGTTTGGCTGATGCGACTGCTTACTCTGTGAAATCCAGCTGCCTCATTTCTTGCTGCTCCAGTCAGGAACCGTTCAGAAAGGACCTGGGTATCACCTCCTCAGCAAACATGACACCACGGCATTCTGTCAGAAAGTGAAATGCATCATGTATAAATACCTATTAACTGATGTAATGTACAATAAGGGGAGGAGGAAATGTATATTCAACTATGTGACAGGTATTTCAAAGCACCACATAATTAGCTTTGTTTGGTTATTTTAATTTTGTTTTTATTGGCAAGATGCAGTATGAAAAAATCTACTAATTAGATAGGAAGTTCCCCCGAAGACATCTATCAACCGTTTCTATTAATACAGGCAACTGTGAGTAGGTAGGTAGGAAGAAAAACATTCAGAAACAACTTTTAGTTAATTAAATTGAGGTCTGGATGCAAAATACTTTTCCCCCATCGACAAATGTTCAGTCATGTTTCTCAGTAAATTGGAAAAAAAAAAAAAATCCTAAAACCAAGGATTGTATCAGACTTCTAATTTCCATCTACTTTTTTCCTCAAAACTTCAGCACAGCACCACTAAGTATATTATCTCTACAGATTGCTGTACTCCATGGAGAAAGCCACTGCTGCTCCTAGTGTGTTTATGCAGTTATTGGCATTACAAATGTGTAGGATGGTAGAGCTTTTTTAACACCTGCACTCTGGCTTTACTTAGATACCGAGTAATAGTACAGAGTAGGGAAACATCACCAGCTGACACATCCAAGTCTGCCTTCTCCTGGGCAGAAAACAAGAATATTTTTTTCTTGCCTCAACTCACAAATTTAAAAAGACCTTTTCTCAAACTCAGGCCAGCCAGCAATTTGTCATGTTGCCACCCACGTTTTTATTCTGAAGGCCAGGCTGTCGGTCAGTTGAGGTTAAATGGATTAGGAATGTGTTCAAAGCCCCAAAGATTTAGATCTGATGGGTTTCAGTAATATGCAGCCATAATTTGGAGGCAGTGTTCTGTGCTCCTAATGACGCTGCAGGGCAGCAGGGAAGGAAGCAGGGCAGTTGCATATGACTTAATGGACATTAACTCAGCATTTAGAGCCTTCTCTCTGTTGTGCTTAGGCAGTGCAGAAGGGGCAGAAAATACCCACATCCTCTTCATTGCGTAAGCTAGAGCTGGCCCAGTCCCCAGTGGCCCATCTACGTGGAGCCTACGCAGATGCTTGGCACGGTGTTTGCCTCACTTGTAGAGTGCAGCACCTACCTATGGGTAGCTTAGCTGGGATGTTCACCTCTATGTGCTTGGTCTGGACATCTTCCTTGGCTTCAGGAGGGCACAGAAGCACAGAATGGCTGAGGTTGGAAGGGACCAAATATCTGGTCCAACCCTATTGCCCAAGCAAGACCACCCAGAGCAGGTTGCCCAGACCCATGTCCAAACAGGGCTTCCTGATGGTCAGACATGAGGTTCAAGGCAGATAGTATGAGGAACCACCTGGCAAGACAGGAGGTAACATTGGTGAAAACCTAAAAAGCAGAGGTGGTCTTCCATTCCAGGGGTCCACACAGAGCCTCATGGCAGGCCTCTGGCTGAGCAGGCAGTCTAACATGGAGTCTGGATAAATCACAGAATCACAGAATGGTTTGGGGTGGAAAGGACCTTAGAGATCATTCAGGTCCACCCCGCTGCCATGGGCAGGGACACCTCCCACCAGACGAAGTTGCTCAAAGCCCCATCCAACATGGCCTTCAAACGTGAACATCTGAGGACATGTCTGCAAGGCAGGCAGAGTGCCACTGCCATGGGAAGGGAAGGATGCAGAGCCACCCAAGGGAGATTGGTAAGGCAAGGTCTGTTAAAGGAAAATCAAAAAGTCTGTGCTCGCTACCGACATGGTACTGAGCTGAATGTCTGTGATTGAAAAGAAACACTTTTAATTCCTGATTTACACATACCTAGTGCAGGTAGAAGTAAAGGAACAGTGAATTTGCTAAACAGATAGAGCAAACAGAGCTTTGTGCAGGATTGCTCTTCACATTTATAAAATAACTAGAGCTCATGCTTATTTTGCTTCCCGGCTCTATATCTAAATTCATATTCCCTACCACCTGCGTGTGCAGAATGGAATAAATAATGATTACCACTGTGATAGAGAACTACCGCTAAAATCCCAGTAAGTCATCAAATGGCTGTTACGTACAAAGATAATGCAGGCAATAGTGGGGCTTTTTCAGCAGGGTTAGGCAGCAACACTATATGTGCATGTTTTATTAGTTACAAAAATGGGTATTTCAGTATAGGCACCACATGTAGATCAAACTGACAGACTCCTTTGGGATTAAGCCCCATCACCTTCTGAATGCAAGACAAGCACAAAACCACTGCAGCAACGGAAAAAAAAAAATCAGCTTGAAAATAATTAAACAGCAAGGCAGCCACCCATAATGATATTCAGCAGAACACATTAGGGACAGTTTGCTGGGAATGCACAAGAGCACTCCAGTTGTTTAATTAACATTGAAACGGCGGTTCCACAAGAACTAAAAATCCTGTTAATTTATGTGTCTCTTAATGATGCTCATTTAAATACTGTCAACTTTTCTCTAGTTTAATATTCATGATTTCTAGTCATTAAAACACCAGGCTCAGCTCATAGATTCACTGAGAAACACAAATTGTTTGATGATGATGTCAGTTCTTAAAAAGTTTTTTTCCCCTTAAAGTGTAAATCTCTCAGTGCTCATCACTAGGGTCATTTTAGTCTGGTCTATAAATATCATTTTTATCATTCACATAATACAGTAAACTACAGTGTTCTCTCTCACCTTCAAAGACAAGCTCTGCTTGCATTGTCAGGAGTTATTTATGTAAAGGTAGTTATCTTTTTATGACGGAGCATCTCAGCTGGTTAATGTAATGGCTTTATATATTGGGATACTGGGCTCAAGTCCCACTTTAGATTATAAAAACTATTTTCATCCAGCATAGGAAACATTACATTAAAAATAATTTTAGTGCTGAAAAGACACTCACAGATGGCTATTAAAACAATACTGCCAAGGTAGGCAGAAGTCAAATTTTGACCTCTTCAGAATTAGTATGCACGTGGTCTGAATGAACACTTGTTTGCATGAAACTTTTGTTTACCCTGTGATGATCCTTTCCCTACATTGGCAAATTTATATGAAGTGTCCCTACATTGTCTCTTTGGCAGAAACTGTAGTGTAGCCTCCTGTGATTGCAACTTCTATAGAAAAATATATATTGATCTTACACTGTCAGAGAAATCCCCTAACTTTTTTATAAATTAAAAAATACAGCTTAATTTTACAGGTAATCTTTCATCTTTAACATAAAAATTTAGATTTCAAGGAGAAGCTGAACACTTTTAGCAAGGCAGAGAGCCAGACATTTGGGACAGGACAAGTATGGACAGTTAAGGAAGGACATTTAAGTGATCTTCCTTTACAATTGCATTTTTTTCTACTGTTTTTTCATCTCAGACAATAGCACCTGCTTCATTTTTTGTTTTGTTGATGCCATTTTTCCTAGGCAAAGTATATTACTACCTTTACTCTTCTTCTTAATACCCTAACTACAGGAAGTCTCTCTTCTTAAATATTCTACTATTTATTCTATGTGGCTTGTAAAAAAAAAAATTAATAAAGGGCACAGGTTCAGGCTTAGAGGAGGTTATAGACAAAGGGCAACTGAAATCTTGTTAGCACACCAATTCCCACTGCATACCTTTAAGACCTAGCTGAGTTCCCTGTCTGAGGTTGTTTTTTTTATTCCTGTCAGATTTCCAGTACACATTGAAATGTAACAGTGCCATATAATTTTTCTGAAAGACAGTTTGTTTGGCATTTTAGACAGACATCCAACACAACAAAATGTACTTTATTATACAGAGAGAAAAATATTCTGTGAACCAGGCAGCACAGAACTAACACTACCTGATTAGTAGCAAAGCCAGTATTTATCACCTACTTCTGCTCATTTCATTCTTTATATTTTATTCTTTCCCTGATGTTTCATATTTACAATTTGCACTTCATAACTAAATAGCTTAATGTAGTTTACCTCTGAAAAAACATTCATAACTAGATGGTCTAGACATAATCTTAATTACCAAAATGCTATCCTATGTCTGAAATGCTTTTATGCAGTTGCGGTTGCTATTTTCTTCCAGAAGTGTTTCAATAAAGCAAGTAATACGTATTAACTTATTGTGTGTGTATTTTAATGTAACATACCTTTTTTTCAGCGTCATGCATCCCAGAAGAGATCTTTGTATTTATTTTAGCAGTCTAAATGTTCTTTTTTCATCCCAGGAATTTCTTTTCTTTATACCTCACTAAGGCCTAATTAATAAATGCACTTTCTTGGGACCATAATTTTGAAATATGGTCTGATACATCATTCAGTCATGACATACATACATGCCTGTCTCTGCTTTAGTCCATAATAGATTCTCTCCAGTAAGAATGTATTCTAGCTCCATCCTGATCTGTCACTTCACAAATGAATGATCTCTGCAATTCTGCTGTCCCTATTGTTTTTCATGCTGACCACAGAATAAAATACTTATTAACATCTTAATTTTCTTGGGACAATAAAGCTGGAAGATTATAAAAGAAATCCCTGAAAAAGGATGCAGGTTTTCAGGCAGAATGCCTATGATTCTGTCTATGGTGACATCCATCTGTTTATGTCACTACAGATAATTTTTATAACATAAACCTAATATGATAAAGTATGTAGCTCTTCTATTCTGGTATTTATACCTACATATCTAACCTTTTTGACGTTGTTTTCAATAGGCAGTTATCCTCTTTTGAAACCTAGGCATTGTCTGTAAACTGGTTCCCAAATGAAAGCTTCCATTTCATTAAAATGAAATTTTGTATAGCTAGCATGAAGTAATCAGCATATTCCCAGTACATTTATTTACTAAACTTCTTCAATGTCCCTAATCTTTGGCACTTATAGTTCAATAATTAAACAAATTATAATGAACAGACTTGTCTTGTTCCTTGTTTTTGAAGCATTTGAACCCAATGCAAGAGGAAAGAAGTTTCCCATGCTGATTCAGTTCTGATAGCATTTTTCATATTTCTCCACAGAAAAACACA